ACTACCAGTGCCAGGCAGCTTACTAGTAGATTAAAAGTTGTCCCAAGAGGGTGCACACGCCAATCTAAAAAACCACAAAATTTTAAACAAAGTTCAAAAGCTATGATCCAGCTCCCAATTTATTTCAATATTGTAACTAAGCCCATAATTGCACAGAAGCGCAAATTTTTTTTCTAATAGTATTCATGTGTTTTTGTTCATCTGTTGGTGGTGGTTTATTGTGCATCTATTAAGCTGGCAATTAAGCTGTGGAAGTATCCTATGGCAATGTATCAGGTAAGTGCTGCACTGCCAAGGTTGTTTTGCTTGCTTGCTAGTTTGCTTACTTATCTCCAGTCACTCCATTTAGAGCTCATCCAAATGAGGTGTGTGGCTTGGATTGGTGTGAGTTGGAACCATTCCTGTAGATCAGGAATTACTCACTTAAGGCATCCATACCTCTACCGGAAATCAGTTTGGTGGAGAACATCCCCCCTCCCCTTGCCTTCTTGCCTTGATCTGAAATTCTCACTGGGACCCAGGTGAAATTGACAAATTTAGTCAATTTCATGAGACAGTGACAAGACATTGCACCAAGTGATAAACTATTAAGCCAATTCAAAGCTATGTCACTCAAGAGAGTGTGTCTAAATAGTACACTGCAGGGATCTAAATGTTATAGGTCCACACTGTGTCGAAACATTTCATATTGAAAATGGGAATTAATTCTTCCTGACCTATGCACTTAAAGCCCTGACAGCTGACAGCCATAGCAGCTGACTTGAGAGGAGGGCTAAAAGGGAAGGGATGAAGGAAAGAAGTGGGCAAGAGGAGAGTGTTAATAGAAATGGAGCTGTGAACCCAAAGAAAACTGTATCACTTGGGAAGTTCAGTGTGGACTTTTGAAACTGTATAATTAATCATATCTGTGTGAACGATTACAATGATTTCAACAGTGGAAACTACTTCTAGTAGTCCCTGACTGGTTTTTTAAAACCTCCAGCACAAACCATGTGGTATTTTCCAATGTAGTCACACCTACAATCAGGTGGAGGTATACAATTCAATATGTAAAGGGACTCGCAATGTGGAGTCTGACTTTCTGGACTGACAGCGTGTTACATGTGGCACAGTTCTCACTGAAATGATCATCACACTGAGGTGGTAATTGTAAGACTGAGCAGCTTGAGATAGATTATGGGGCTTACATAACAGAGTGCTTCTTCATCCATGTCCCTCAAATATCCATCTAGTATGGAAAACTGGAGGGGCATGGCTAGCCTTCTTCACCAGATATGGCTTCCTCAGTGGATACATTTTTCCCTTATGGAGAAGATTCAGCCACCCGAGTCTCACTAGCAGTACTGAAATAGTATAACCGAGATAAAAAGTATGCTGCCTCAATGAGAACTATGGCCTACCTCATTTCTCCTATTTTTCTTATTGATACACTTGGCTTTTCCCACCCTTGTTCACTAATGGATATTTATTTGATTTCTGATTTCTAGTGCTGGAACTTTTATTCTGCTTGGAATAATGTGTACCTTTCTGATTACCATATACCACAAAAATATGGCAACATTAGGGGGGGAAATGAAAAGGGCAGCCCAAATCATCTGGGGTGGTGGTGGTACAACTCCTGTTAGGAAAAGTTACAAATTTTGGGCCTTTTATTTTTGGAATAAGGTGGAGGCATGTTAACAAGTGCCAAAAACTACAACATGTTTCTCATCCTCTTATAATACTATAACCTAGAGTTATCCTGTGGAGCTGAATGGTCTGAGAGTCAGGAAAGAAAAGGAAAAAAGGAAAAATAAAGAAAAATAAAGAAAAGAAAAGAAAAGAAAAGAAAAGAAAGAAAGAAAGAAAGAAAGAAAGAAAGAAAGAAAGAAAGAAAGAAAGAAAGAAAGAAAGAAAGAAAGGGGAGGGGGTCTTCTCATGAAATGTACTATGGAATTTGCTAATACAACCTTCAATGATGGCCACTAACTTTAATGGCTTTAAAGGAGGATTAAATAAAGTCATGGAGGGTAAGGCTATCACAATGGTTATAATCATGAAGGCTGTTATCTCCAGTATGAGAAGGTGTATACATAAGTGTAGTACTTGCTGGAGAAAAACACTGGAAGGAAGCCATTACCTCACACGTTTAGTTGGCTACCCTAAGAAAACCAAGGTCAGGCTAGAGTGGCCTTTGGGCTAAGCTATCAAAGCTGTTAAGCTCTTATAAGCTTCAAAACATACACACCAGTAACAGACACTTAGGTACAGTGGGCCCTCTACTTAAGGAATTAATCTGTATTGGAATGGTGGCTGCAAGTCGAAAAGTCTGTAAGTCGAATCTCCATTGACCTACAATGCACTGAAAACCGATTAATCCCATAACCAGTGGTTTTTATTCTATTTTTATTCCATTTTGGTTTTTTTCTGGTCTGTAAGTCAATTCTGTGGCTGCAAGTCGAATCTAAATTTTGCAGCCAGAGAAGTCTGTAACTCGAAAAGTCTGTAAGTCGAGCCGTCTGTAAGTCGAGGGTCCACTGTAACTACTTATGGTTTGTTATTCTCTAGACTATAACAATGTACTAATTAATAGAGGTAAAGAGGGGTCAACCTCCCTCACTTATACCATCACCAACTCAGAGCACCTGGGTAAGGTACTTTAAAACTGGGGAAAGGGTGTAGAGAGACTGCTATACTGGCTTCTCCAACATGTGCCTCCAATTCAAGGAACCAAGGCCCCAAAGTGACATTTTAAAAATTTTTAAAGTGTCTATTTTTGCCCTTATTGATTGTGAAGAGAGAGGTTCTTGTAACTGTTCTTTCCAAAGCTGCTACTTTGAAATTAGTGTCTGGAAAAATAAAATATATCCTTGGGGAAAAAAATCACTAAATTTGCAAGCGCCTAAAGGGAAAATATAATTTGGACTTCTAGGGAAAATAATTTTTCTCAACATTTGAACCATTCAGTTTCTCTGAGGAAAGTGTGAAGAACCATTGTGAGACTATTTGCTAATTAGGCCTTATATAAGATAGTGGATTGTTCTCTGTAAGCTCATTCATGTAATTTTAATATGTGACCTGAGATATGACCAAACCAAGATCCAAATTGGTGCCAGAAACAAGGAACGTCACTCTGCCTTTTGCTGCAATATGTTCCACTGAATGCACTGATCTGTAGCGCCTGAAATTTCTGTATGTCTATCATTTGTCTGTCATATGTCTGTCACTGTGAACCTGGTAACCAAGCCAGATGACCCGAATGACCCGAACTTCCGAGTACTTACCTCTCTCTTTTTCTGATAATCTGCAGTCAGAAAATTAAGCAAGGGAGAGGTGCAACCTTGTACTTAATGATTATCTAACTGAAAAACAGTGGGATTGCCCACATATTCTCATTTTTGCAAGAAAAGGAACAAGCAGAACAAATAGGACTTGCTTAACTGGCCAGACTGCTAAAGGTACAGCGGTGCATTAATTTTTCACTCAGGTAACCAAGTATGTATTTGCCCACTGGACACAAAGAGAAAGTTGCATTGGCATCACATCTCAAAATGTGATGATTAAAACCTATGCAGGAAAAGACTGCATGGTTGAAGACTGTATGAATATTTATATTTTTTCTCAAAGCGGCACAGAAAATATATATATAGTTCACTCCTTCTAGGAATAAAAGACTTTTAGAGAGTAAATATCCTCCAACGTGCCATCTAATTTTCAGTCCTGATGGACAGGGCTCCACCTCTCTCTCTCTCTCTCTTTCAGCTTCTCCTCTGCATATGTGCATGACTCCATGCCCCCCCCTCCATGCAGGATTCTGTCATGACCGGAACCAAAGAAGTTACACAGAGGAGGAGGAAAGCTATGCAGAGGGAAGTGGAGTCACGCACATGTGTGCAGTAGCACACCTTAGAGGGATCCTTCGTATTCATCTTTCTACATGTACCCCAGAGCAAAGAATAAGCACTTTACTAGTGACAAGCTATTCTAAGAAACAGACTGGGTTGCGGGTGGGGAAATTCTGTATTCTTAAAGGCTGAGGGCCTGATTTATAAAGAACAATAACCTAAGGCATCATTAACAAGCATGAAAGGAAATCTGAGGGCATCTTCAATGGAAACTTCTGTCAGCTCTTGTTTCAACTGGGTTTGTAGCAGGAAGCAATGCTAAACAATTGTCCTGAGCGCTCATTCATGTCACAAGTACATCTCCTCTGCATGAACAAATGGTATTAACAGAATGAATTGAGGCGCACAGGCAAATTGTATGTTATATGGTATTATTGTCTTAGAATTTGCCACATGAATGTCATTATGACCATTTTTGCACAATAAGAAGCACAGATTTAGCTTCTTTCTTATGTGGGCCATCTAGCCCCTCCCCTAAAATGCCCCAGTTTTCATGATACAGAAATGCTCTATATTCCTTGTGGGGTGGGGGAGGGAAATATGGAAAGTATACCTTGTAGAATAATTAGGAGTAATAGCCATGCCCATCAGAGTTGCTTGGTTCAATTTCATTCTGATTCTCTAAGAAGTTCCATTTTGCTGATTTTTTTCCAGGTACAATTAGTTGGAAGAGCAATAGGAGTATGATTTTTATACCCCTTAAACTATGGTCTTTAATCAAGATAACCTGCCCTTCATGGACAAGATATCTTTCGAAATGCAATAAAGTAGACCTAATACAATTATTGGAGAAAACTCCATTTTTTTAACCTATATAACTCACAAGAACACAGTGACTTCACTTAATACTGTATGTTCTAACTTCTGTAATCTACTCTTTCAGATTATTTCAGCAAAGAAAAAAGCCTTTCTGAAATACATTTCAGTCAAATCAGTAGGTGTGTGGTACCAACTTTATACTCATACAAGTAAATGCGAAACATTACTATCTTACCACAATAGATACCATACTCAAAAGGGGAGAGGGAGACACAAAACACACACACACACACACACACACACACACACACACACACACACACACACACACACACATACACACACACACACACACACACACAAACACACACACACACACACACACACACACACACACACACACACACACATTCTTGCACATACCTAGTAGTCTGTGGCTGGCTACCACTCTGTTCTGCACTACCAGAGTGGAAAAGGGATATACCTGCTTGACCCTACATGGCTACATAGTCCATTCAGAGTCAAAGAAGCAACCTTCAAAATGCAACATGTCAGCAGAATGTCCCCCTCTTTTTCTCCTTCATAGGACTGACTCTTTTGATTCCAGCTCTTGAGTGCTAGGTGATGGAGTGGTGACAGCTTGGCTCTTGTGCGTGACCAGTGGTGACGTTTCACCCTCAGCCTTGGTGTTTGGAACAGCTTCTACATGGACTTCACTGAGTTCAGCCTCTTTCTCCTTTGTGGCTTTTTCATTCAGATAATGAAGGATACCAGCTCCAAAGGCATCCCCTTCTACATTCACAACTGTGGTGGTCCGGTCCCTGGTCAATAGGGAAAGCATACGAGTGTGCTCGACAGGGTTTTTCATACAGATAAAACTGATCTCTCAAGCTTAAAAAGGCTACTGCTCCCACAGACTATGAAGTAGTCTTTGTGAGATGACAGGGTGTGTCCCAACAAATGGAACAGGGCTACTACTCATAAAAGCAAACAAACATGCTGAGTTCCTCCAAGCAGACTCAGGTGAGGAACAACTCTTGCATCAACCAAACTAATCCTCTGTCTTGGTTGCATATACCTTCCTGAACTATACTGGGAGAGACTTTCCTGCCTTTCTGGCATATACTTGCATATGTGGGTTAATCCATATACTGTATAGAGATATGGCTCATGAAGTGCAGTGAGCAACTAACTCCACCTCCCGAGCTGCTATTTTGCATGTTCCTCCCCTATCCATCTCCAAGCCACTACTTTATACTTGATTCCAGCTAGTGAATTTTAGCATTCTGTTAAAATATTTTAAAAAAATGTACATCGATGGCTGAAGCCTGCCCATACCTGAAACTATGCCTTCACATCTAGTTTGCTTCTCTTTCATAGGGCAGTGTTTGAGCTGATGTAGAATCTAAAATTTAAGTATATTTATTCCAGTTCTTTCTCGTGACTTAAGTTCTAACCTTGAAAGCGCCTCTGTTGCTTCCATATTGTTTCTTGATTTTGCTACTCTTTTGAACTGCACATTGTCTTTATATTAAAAGATCATAACAGAGTTAATTCCACTAATCACCTCCAATACCCTCACAATGATGTACTCCCAGTTACATACAGATATGTGCTACTTACACAATCCAGTCCACTGCCAATATGAGGGAAATATCATTGGTGGGAAGTCCAATGGCCTCCAAGATAATAGCTATGGTTAGAACCCCTCCAGCTGGGATTCCAGCAGCTCCCACACTAGATGCAGTTGCAGTCACACTGGCAATGGGAAAGAATACAGGTTACTTTTAATGCTGAAGTTACGCATTGCGAGTGACGAGGGAGATGCAAATGCCTGTCATTTCCATGGACGTTTCCTCCTTCCCACACACTGGTATCACATGTTTGAGAAACATGTTACAATTTATGGAATTTTATGCAAAAATAAATCTTATTAGTCTTAAAAGTGGCATTTTGTTTTGTTTTTTGGATGCATGCCGAAACAGACTAACATGGGCTAGCTCTTTGAAACCAACTGGTAAGGAGGTATCCTATTTTGTAATGCACATTCAAGTCCTTGTCACTACCAATAAGCTTAATCATGCACATCAGGTTCCCCATTTCACATTGTCTTTGTAATTTGATAGCACAAACCTTTCCATACATCACCTAATGCAAGTCAAAATCATTACTATGCACTGCATGCAAGCTTAGACTTATCTACTCAGATGTAAGTACCACTGGGTTCAACAGCACTTATTTCCAAAGAAATATATATACTGTATATTTAAGGAAGGCACGAAAGAGTCAGCTGAAAGACAACAAACAGCTGCTTCTCTCCAGTGTACTGCATGGCTAGACTTTTCTTTCTGGATGTGCGGTAAATCAAGTGAGCATTGCATTTGGCTATGACAGAAAAGTTGGCTTGAATTATAACTTACAGAATGGTAAAGATCTGCCCAATATTGAGTTTATAGTTGTTAAGCTGAGCAATAAAGACTGCAGCTATACACTGGAAAATAGCAGCTCCGTCCATATTTACAGTAGCTCCAATAGGCAGAATAAACCTGCTAATTCGTTTGTCCACTCCATTGTTATCTTCAATGCATTTGATCATTGATGGAAGAGTTGCAGAACTAGATGAAGACAGAAGTAGAAGATCAACAGGTACAGCAGTGTCCTGTATTACCTTGAAGCATAACCATCCTAACAGCCAGTTCTCTTGATGAGTCTAAAACCCTAAACGTATTGTGCAACAGTCCAGATATTTTCTGTTCCAGGACACAATCATGCTGAAATAAGTTCTACAGTTTTCATTTCCAAAAGATACATACAAATCTTTTGAGAACAAACATAAGGGTGGTCCACTGTATCTTTTTTTATTATTCCTGCTTCAGTGCTATTTTGATTCATTTCAAGGCTATTTTTCTAAGGATCTAAGTTCCAATGCTTAACTGTCAGAAATTTCTGCTGTCTCGAACTGTATGTCTCCCTTCAAGAATGGTTCACAATTGGGGCAGGGAACCCCATAATCACAGAGTCAGGCGCACACACCCCATCCTGGTTCACGAACCTACCTATCCGCCACTTAAACTAATATTCTTTGGCAATTTAAAATCTTAGCCCTCAAGTGCTGATAGTCATACATTAGGGACCCACCACAGAGTCTTCTAACAGCCTGCCTTGCATTTTGAGAACTCTAAAATCAGATCACCATAAGTGCCCCTTTTTTAGACAGAAAAGCTATAAAGAGATCTAAGAAGATCACAAGCCTAGAATTTTTAGCCTAAGGACATTCTGAGATGGCTGAAAAGGCACGTATCTGATCACACTATAAAGGGTCACTATAATGGAAGTGAAGTGGCCTTTTGTCTGCTAGGGAATTGTTCCAGCTTGGCCCTAAAAAGTAGAAGTCCTACAGCTCAACCAAAAAGGTCCAGTTTGGGCCTGGTTCTGGGTCAGATTGGGACACATTTCACCATGTGTGCTATGTGATCCTTGGGAAATAGATAGCCACCAGCCCACTTTGCAAGTAGCCCAATTGAAATCTATTTCCCTATGTGACCACATCCTCAATTAGAATAACACGAACTCAGTTTCAGAAATAACAGCAACAGCAAACATCCACTAACCTGGAGCAAGTAGCAAAGGCTGTTGTCAGTGGAGTTATGAGTCCTAATAGAAAAGTGAAAGGGTTTTTGCGTGTGACTGCAAAATAGATAAGTGGTAAAATGATCCCTCCATGAATAATATGACCCAGAATTGAAGCAAAGATGTATTTCCCAAGGCTTGTCACCAGCAGGATAATGTCATCCATTTCCACGATCTTGCTTCCAACAAGAAACATAATGCCAAGAGGTATGTACCTGTGTGTAGAAGTTAGTATTAAACTTTCGGATGCTGAAGAAGTAGGTATATCATAAGGTATATCATGAATGGTTGGGAAAAAATCTATATTTTTCAATAATACTATAGGAAGGGTTGAGGAAAAAGAACACATCACAGATTGTCCAAGGTTTGCAAAAGGTCCATGATTCCATCTTTGGCATTTACAGAGGAGAAAAGAAATTCACTCATAAAGCTTGAAAATTATTGCCACTCATCATAATGGACAGTTACTAGGCTTAGATGATTTGACTGGGTTCCAGTTGGCTTCCTGTCTTCCTAAACATGCTTTGAGAATGGAATGTAACAGTGCGGTTGTTTCAAATCCCAAAAGTTTAGCGTAATTGTTTGACCCCGTGGCCTACAGTAAGCTCACCTTTTTATAAAACACCAATTAGGATTTCAAAAGAGAAGATTCTAAATGCCATCAATTAGGAAAGCACTATTAAGAAGAACTTATCTTCATTTGAGAATTACATCAAGTAATATGCTCATCATCTACAAAGAGGTGGATTATATGGTGACTGATTCATTTGGAGTGCTGGTCTTCTAATGACTCAGGGGAACATAGCACACCAGTTTACACATAGGAGTATAAACGTTAAATTGCTCTAAAACAAAACTTTTATTATGGGCACCAACATGCGGTTCTAGATTCCAACAAAACTTTCAAATAATGTTTTCCACTGTGAATAGTTCTGATCAACATTTTTCTCCTGCCTTCCCCTCTTCTGCTGTTTTTTAAAATAGCAATTTAGTGTTTCAGAAATGTCAGGAAATTCATGGCAGGTTCTCTGTACTATGTCAATGTCACAGCTTTCAGCTGGTTCCAATGAAAATATGGTACTCATTAAGGAGAAAGATGAGTGACACTCTCTAAAGGTGCCATCCCTGAAAGAGGTGAAGGGGATGGCATGTCGGAATAGGGCCTTCTCGGTTGTTGCCCCCCAACTTTGGAACACCCTCCCTAGAGAGATCCGCCTGGCTCCGACACTCTTGGCCTTTCGGCACCAGGCAAAGACCTTTCTGTTCACCCAGCATTATAATTAATTAATTTTAATGTTTTAATGTTTTAAGAAATATTTTAATATATGGTATTTTATACTGTCTCTTAAAATGTTTTTAATGTTTTTAAGTTTTAATGTTGTACGCCGCCCAGAAGCCACTGGCAATGGTGCGGCTAAAATTTTTTGTAAATAAATAAATAAATAAATAAAATGAGGAATTTCAAGTAAGAATTGATGGTATGTGGGAAGTTCTGTGTCCACTTTCCCTTCCCACTCTGAAAGACTGAGGTTGTCATTTGCAGCCACATCCTTCAAAAAGGCAGCAGCAGCAGCAGTCCAATGAAGTGTTAGCTTGCTTGCTGCCCAAATGCGTTAACTGCAGGGATCACCATCCAGGAACCATTCCAGGTCTGTGGTGGTGCCGCCTGAGATACCTGGGAGTCCTTCCCATCTGCCCATATCAAGGAACAAAAAAGTCAGAGATATGAAACCAGCACACTGCAAAATGTTCAGGCTTCCCAAGGGACCTGAAGGGATCTCAGCAGCCATCTGAAGGTTTGCTTCTGTGGAGTCTCTTGGGAAGATATAACTATAAGATGTATGTGATGGATCTGATGTGACCAATTATCTCCTCCACCAATTCTACATGTAAAGTTGGCAGAAAGGAGCTTGAAAGGCAGATCACACATTAAGACAAATGCATCTTTTCTCCTGTTACAAGGTTTTCTCTCCAGGCATGCAAATCTTTCAGAGCCCGAGGAATCAGATGTTAAAACAAAGTCACATCTATCCTGCCCTGGCCCCAAGAACTGCAAAACAAAAGCAGGGTAATTTGCTAAATGTAGATTAAAGCAAGCCCCTGTTAGAATGAACAGACCATCTTTCTCTTTTGAGGGAGCTCTGATTATAAAGACAGGTTAACTACAGTGCCTACTTCTGCTGTGACTCGGTGTCTTCAAAGTACTAGATTATTTATCACACAAGAACTTCATTTTAGGTAGCAGCAGGCTAACAAATAGTAATGTCACCTACTGCTGCTGTGTAACTACTGGCCAGCAGGTCTTCTTGGTAAACACTTGGGCATATGTAAATTATGGCTAGTAGCCTAAATGTACTTATTAGGGAGTAAATGCCACTGAATTCAAAACAACAATTGAGTGAACATGTTTAGGCTTGCACATTAATACTTTAAGTTACAAAAAGAATGAAAACAACTGCATTAGAGCATGCATGTGCAAGGGGTTTTTAATGAATGAAAGTTAATGTTCCAGACTGTGAAATCACAGTAATTATTAACAAATAGTTCAATTTTTTTAAAAAAAATCCCTATTGCTTTCCTTTAAAATGTAAAATTCAGAATATTCTCTTTTTCACTCTTAGCACCATCAGATTAATGATGGTAGAATAGCCATTGCTCCTGAACTTTCTACTTTTGGTCAAGAAAATATATGCTTACACAGCGGATGCTCTTCTCTGTCCACAGGGGGATTTTCATGGTAGCCTTTGGCCTTAGGGACCCACACCCCTAAAGAACACCAAGTGGTACCTTTTGTTTGCCTGTAACCCATAGAAATTTGTCCTTAAATCACCAATAAACATTACAGTAGTCTTTGTGACTGTGTGGTTTCCCTCACCCTGTCAATGAAGATGTGAAGACCCTAATGCACTCCCGACATTCTAATTAGAGATTAAGATCAAGTTTAGATTTACATCCTCCACATCCTTTTAATAGCCATTACTAAGTAAAAACACAAGGGATAACATGATGTTTATGTCTCATAATGGGACCCTAGGCAACAGCAGATTCTCTGGAAGACATTAGTACCTCCAGATAAAAAGAGAAGCATGACTACATCTGGTCTTCTTGAACTGTTTCAGGCTTCATTCCTACCACATGAAAATATATCCAGGTACACAATGTACCAACGCTCCTTTAAGATTCTTCATGGCTTTTCTCAAGTAACCCCCTAACTAGCACTTATTTGTTCTAGAAAAATGGGGATACAGGGAGGATACATGGTATATAGGGAATATACAGTAAATGCAAACACATTTGCCAATGATCGTTTGTGGGCAAGGCTTGTGTTCAAAATTCGGCTTGTGTTAAGAATTTCCTTTTCCTGTCAATCCACGATGGGCCCCACCTCAAGTGTAAAAATGGAATGTGTTCTTTATGCAGTTTGTCATCTTCCAACCTCTGCCCATTAACAGGTGTCAACTCTGCATCCAGCAAAAATGTTTTCAGCTTGAAGAAAGCTTTAAGACTGTTCAGGGCCTTTAGGAAGTAAATCATGTAATGTCTTGGAAGTGGTTCCTAATGAACTACATTGTCTATCATCCCTTCTCCCTAAATAAAGCCCCTTAATGTGGAACCTGGGATTTGATTGTGTATTATTGACCACGTGAGATTTTTATTCCTCTACATGACTGATTGTGTGTTCCTGATACACACTTGACTAAAGAGTATTAAAAGGCAGATAGACTGATCTTGCCTGGTTGTGACTGCGAAGCCAACCTGTTCATTTTATGTCAGGTAACAAAAAAACCAAATACTTTAAATTCCCGTTTGTTCAGAATTTAGTATTGAGCTGAGAAATGGTATCAATACATGAGGGAACAGCCCATTGATTGTGGTTTCTCCCCCTCAACACTTTTTCTGAAGAATACTCACCACATAATCCAAGACACCAAGACCATGGTTGCCTCATTGAAAGAATTAAAGAAGCGGATCAGTTCTTCCCCTTCAGGACCAAGTTTTTTCAATGCTACTCCCAAAACCAGAGCAAAGAGAACTAGCCCCAGGATATTCATTCCTTCAGTTTCAGTGCCAACAGGGAACTGTGGAATAAAAACATTTTTTAAAAAAATAGTAAGTTATCTTTTAAAGCGACTTAGCACCTTGCTGCTCTTAAAAGTGGCAGAGTACAGAATGGATGAAAACAACATGCAAAATATAGCACAAACTCTGGAGCAGAGTTTTTAAATAGCCTGGCTGCAGAAACGTAAACGCTTCAAAAGAAAGGATGGTTTTCAGAAGATTTTCTGAGAATGAAGTCGGTGGCTCTTCCATCATCCTAAATTAAGAGTCAGAATTTCCATGATGTTTTAACTGTACTATACCTTGGATGCTTCCACTGGAAGACAGGAAGGGGAGATGGTTCAAAATAATTGACTTATTCATATAACAGGGTAATTGCTTTCATCAAAATAATTGAATCTCTTCTGAATGCTTTTCTATAGACTGTGTATGCTAAGAATGACCTCCACCACTTTTTTTTTTTGGAGGGAAAAGGGAGAATTACTGAATGTAACATATAGGCATTAAATATTGTGGGGGCAGGCAGAAGGATTATGAGTAGTGATTCCAGGAGACAACCAACAAATAAAGGTCCACAGGGAAAAATTTGGGAGAAGATGAGCTGACTGTCCATGGCAAAATCACAGACACTGGGGGGCAGATGCCCCCTATGCCGAGTCTCAGGGAGACTTCAGACTTTTAGTGAATTCATCTCAAAAGGCAGCCACACAGTGTTTCAACAATGCTTCAGCAGGAGGCCTGCAGGAAGCAAAGGAGACGGCCAACAGACCCAGGCCCAGAATGAATGTCGGTGGCCTGCATCTGAATAAACACTGAAAGAATCAGGCTACGTAGATATTTTGATCTCTTGTTTAAAAGAAAATAATCACAGAAATCATGAAGTCTTATCGCACTGCAAGAGAAGCACGCAACACATTCTTCATACTTCAGACATAATTAAACAAACTAGAAAAAGGAAAGGGATCAAAAGAGCTTAAGCCTCCCATATAATAGGCTTGTGACTAAAATACGATGCCACCCCACAGAGCTTTAGTTAACTCCAAAGTTTAATTTCTTCTGTAAAGGAGAAACCTACATATTGGGGCACGCAGCCATTATTTGTGGTTACTCCAATGCTTCACCTCTATCCCAGCATATGCAAAAGAGTTGAAGAGGGGAGGATTCCACCTTTCGCTTTGTCCCACGAAGATTTTTTTTTGTTCTTTCTGACCATCATTTGACAAGAACACTGTAATGCTTCCATCCCAAGAAAAGAAAAATATTAACTAAAAGAGAATGACCAAAGGGGACATTGATAACCATCAGACTGAAACATTCAGTGTTCTGTGCAATGTGTTTTCCCTACTCTGACATAATTTAACATTTAAAAATAGTATGTTTCCGTGCTGCACTTACCGAGGCTGGTCCAAAACATGTAGGGGAATGGAATCAGAAGGCCCTAAAATGCATCCCTCCTTTCTATTTCTTAGTACAGAGCATAGTCCTCTAGAAAGCATTGCTGCACAACACTTCATAACATAAATGGGAGTAACACCAAACTCTAGAATAATCAATAGGCACATTCAGGTTCTGGAAATGAAACTGGCCATTTGGTACAACAACACCAGTTTTTGCAGTGAGACAGGGGTATTTTTGTTGTTGATTCTGTTGTGCTGGAACACCACAAGGTTGGAAGGCTTCTATCCAAGCTAACAGAAACAACACAAGAGTTGACGTGGCTTAATTCTGCATTGGAATACATGCAACCATGGAAGCTAGCGACCTCAAGTTCTTGGGGGCATTATATCCACTCCTCTTTTAGACTGACCTCAAGTTCTTGGGGGCATTATATCCACTCCTCTTTTAGACTGAGCATCAAAGGTGCAATCCAAAGTGCTGAACTAGGGTTTTTTGGGGGGGAGGGAGGGAAGAGATCCAACACTGTGGAGTCCCACAAAGTTTGGATTAAAAAACTGGAGTAGATTCACTGACTCCTGATGAAATCCAGGTCAGCAGCTTTAGCATGCATGTATCTAGATAAATCTAGATAGCAGGGGCTATGAGGAGTACTCTCCCAAAGCCAAAACCAAACACTGAAGGGCTAGAAAAGAAAACTGTCCAAAAGCAGCAGGAGCCAGCCAGACTTCCGAGGGAACCTAAGAAATATTACACTGGCTTTCCAGGGAAAATACAGAGTTCTGGCATTCCAGAGTGCTGTCCAGAGTTAAAATGAGAGAAGGGCACATTGTTAAGTGTCCAAAAGGTACATTGAAATCTTATGAGAGAAAATAAAAAGAAGGAGGTGCTTCCAAAGTATATGTATGCTTCAAGGATGAACCCAACCTTCTACATATTGTTCTTGCCCTTTGCAGCACAGTGTCCTCACAAGTACTGCCAACCTGAAAAGTTAAGCAGCCTGCTCAACCCTTGTCTTCTTTCTCTTCATCCATTTATGCATAGATCTTTCCTCCCTCCTTCCAAAACAACAGTGAAAATGCTGACTCAAATGCCCAAGAGACAATAAATTTGTATGAAACAAAGCTCCAATAGATGTCTATTAAGGCATATCTTAGAGGTGTTGAGGACATCCATGTTAGCAAGATAAGCCACACAGCTTGCAAAGTGCCCTTGGGCCAGCAACTCTCTCCCAGATTAACCTACTTGACATTACTGGTGTCATGATAACAGTAGGGAGAAGGAAAGAAAGCCATGTATGCCACCTTGAATTCACTGGAGGGAAGGTAGGATAGATATAAATGTAGCTGATAGGTAAAGAATAAAGAAAATAAAAGGCAGTATGCCACCTTGGGTCCTTTTGGGGAGGAAAGTGGCATAGAAATGTTTTAAATAAATAAAAGCAACTGTTTAGGAGCCAGAAACAAGGTAGGATGATGAAAGCGGGGCTGACTATCACCCCTAACTGATTTGTGGGCAATTACTGTCTCTCCCACCAGTTCTCCACAACTTATACCATCTTGTTGTGAAGGTCTGGCTCACATAAAGTTTGTGATGGCAGAGGGACCCAAACAGCTGCAGGGGGAAAGGAGGTTGGGAAATTTGCCTTCTTTGAACCTCTTTCCACATGCTTCAGATCCAAACTATTGATCCTCCCAGACCCATAGCGACAGGTCTTAAGTACACTAATCTCAGTAGGTTTTGGGTGGTCAGCAAGATGATATGTCAATGACATTAATGCCATATCTCTAAAGAACCTCCATGTGGAATTAAGTATCCACTGAATTCCATGAGGACTTGCTCACTTTTCAGTATAGTATGTGCATCAGATAAGCATTTAAGTATTTACAGTAGAAACCTCATTCGACTGTATTTACTTAATTCCTATACAAAAATTATTTCATGAGGAGAGAAGGAAATGATAATAAATTCCTACTTTATTTGGAATAAGGAGGGATGCTGTTTTACTGCGTCTTAGAGAACAGCAGAGAAGTCTTGCCCTGTTTCTTGAACTATGCCAATTGCCCAGAAAAAGGTCATTCCTTTTTCAACTACCCCCTTCAGAAGAAGGCAATATGTTTACAATAATGCGTCTGCAATATATTGTTCCTAACACATAGGAGATATAGAGGGGATATATACATATACCTATAGACAACCAGAATGCAGTTATTCACTTTCAAAATGTTGCAGCATAGCTCTTGGATCAAACATCTTAACCCCTCACCTTGCCAAGTAAACCAAAATGATGTTTTGAAATGAAATGTTAACCATTAACCCATTCTAGAAACAGTTCTATTGAAAAAAAGGATTCCAAGTCTATATTTACATGTGATTTTTTTTGCGAGGGGGGGAGAATATATTTAGAAAAGTACACTTGCAGAAAATGTTTCAAGTGCACATTTAAAAGTAGATTTATCAGCAGATTTTTTTTAAAAAAAGTGTTCAAGCTGAAATGGGATTGAACAGACTGTGTGGGTGAACATGACCAAGAGATGCAGGTAGGAAACAAAAAGAAGAGAATCTTGCGGCGCCCTAAAGATATGTAATTTTTATAGGGTATAAACTTTCTTAAACTGTAGCCTGCTTCTTCACATGCAGTTGAAGACCATGGATGTACCTGTGAAATAAAACCTGTAAAGTCTTCAAGGCACCACAAGACAATCTTCTGTTGTTTTGTTCTACCTTCACACTTGAAAAAAATCTGGAATAATCTGAATTTGCCCATTCCTACCCAAGGGCACCACTTTAGCCACAGCAACTAATAAGGGTCTCAGTCGTCCTGCTTCTGTGGATGTGCAAGAGCAAATGGCTAAAGATAAGGAGACTCCTGTCCCAAGGGGAGAAAGTGGCAAGCGAGGCCTTAGACCGCTGAAGGAAGGGTGCCCAGATGCTATTCCCCTGCATTTATGTTTATCATTCGATCTAAACAGCAATCCTTGGAAGCACTTTAATAAACACCACACGTACTTCAAAGATGAAACAAAGATCTAATTCTAACATAAAGTTTAGTATGCAGACTTTAAGATTAAAACCTAATCACCACTTACCTTTTCAACAGTAGCATTTCCAAGGTCAGCATTTATTGTCGCCTTATAATCCGTGACATACTGTTAATGGAAAAAAGAATATTTGGATAAGTAACTTTATATGTCATTAGACATATACAAATTAATTATCATTACACAGTGGCAAACGTACCCCTGGGGCTTCTTATATTTAATCTGGGGAACTGTCGTACACGTGGTGCAGTCATCCAGATATTGTAAGGACATCAGATTTTGCTTCCACAAAACATTACTTAGGCTAAACCACATTTTCTACGAATGAAAGGATAAAGGTTTTGCAAGGCATTTTTCTGCTGTGTATAATTTTTCTGCTGTGTATAATTTCAAAACAGATATTTCTGAACATTCCCTGAGCTTGTGACCCAATGTAGAAATAAGTACCATGGAAGAAAATGGGATTTACTTTTGGGTAAACAACATACATACATCTGTTTGTACATATGCTTTGGTTCCATCATTAATCCAAATGGAGACTGTAACCAAGATCTGGAAAGGTAACTGTGAAGGAACTAGTGCAGATCCTTAAATGTAAGCATGTGTTACTGGAAACCAAAGCCAAGCTGATCCACACTATGGTACTGCTAATTACTTTGTATGGATGTGAAGGATAGACAATAAACGAGCTAGCAGGAAAGAATTTATTCGTTTGAAATATGGCATTGGAGATAGATTTTCTGGAGCCACTTTGGGTCCCTTGTTGGGAGAAATGCGGCATATAAATAAAAGTAATAATAATAATTAGACATGGAGATGAATTTTAAAAATGGATCGCGATATTCATAAAAATTGCTGATTTGTTAAGTATTTGTCCCTTCATTTTCATCATTTCCGGAGACCCGTGATGAATATGAAGGGATGAATATTTCCCAATTTTTATTCATCCCCGATAAGAAGAAAGGGAAGGCTAGCCATCTTTCTCTTCCTATGGCCTTCCCATCACTTGACCGGCGGGTCAATAGGCACCCACCCAGCCCCACAGCCGCCCACCCACATAGCCTATCCCTGCCCCCTTCCCCTCCCTTCCTTAGCCGCTGCTGCCATCCACCATTGCCCAGCACCGCCATCATCTACTGCTGCCCACTGCCACCACCATCCATCATTGCCCACTGCAGTGGCCTCCACAGCCACGACCTGTTGTAAGGCAGGGATCCCCAACCCCCAGTCTGCAGCCCGGTGCCGGTCCATGGCCTTGGCAGGACCAGGCTGCAGAGACAGATCTCCCACCCACCCCTCCGCATTTGCACATTCCCCCACGCATGCACGGCCTGCCCACCCGCACATATGGGTGCCCCGCCCCTGTGAGCATGCCCTGCTCAGTGGAAGCAGTGGCAGTGGCAGAGGTGCAGACTCTAACAGCCAAGGTAGGGAGGTGACAGGAGTAGTGGGAAGGAGGCGGGGGGGGGGCTGGCTTTCGGGGTAGAAGGGTCAGCTTTTATTTTTAGACAGCCAGAGGCTTTTTTAAAAACAAACCCAACAAACCAATGAATACATTCATGTTTCATTGGTTCACGGGGAGGAGATTCATGCTTCGTGCTTCATCAACTTTGACGGATCATTTTCACCAAAATGGTGATTTGTCCCCATCTCTAATAATAATATAACTTAAAATGACTGGAAAAGACAATAATGCTAGGAAAACAGGAAGGCACTAAGAAAAGAAAAAGACCAAATATGAGATAGTTTGACTCAATAAAGGAAACCATGGCCTTTAGTTTTCAAGACATGAGCAACCTGTTCATGAGAGGGAGGTATTCATTTATAGGATTGTCATCGGTCAGAAAAAACGTGATAGTATAGGACAACATACATAAATATACAGCATCAAACTGTAAGACTGCTCTAATACATATTATGAGAGGAAGATATAACTTCCAGTACTACTGTGCAAATGATATGATTAACACATTGCTTACCTTCTCAATGGTAACATTTCCAATAGTTGCATTTCTTACTATTGCTTTATAGTCAGTGGCATACTAGAAAAGAAAAAGAGTGTTTTGATTCTGATGAACTATTAGATAAGTACAGACTTTGTATTTATAAAAATCAGCAAAACTGCAACAAAGAATAATCAAGCAAGCCACACATTTAACAACATGCCACAATCTGTATAATAATGCAATTATTATACGGATAAGAGCTCAGTCAACAACAATACACTGTGAGGACAAAAAAGAACTCCGAAGACATGCTTCCAAAATTTCAGCTGATAGCACGATACATAGGTATATTATTCTGTAGTTTATAAACTTGTATCTGGAGTTCCTGATATGTAATCTAGGAAACTACCACACATACCAATAAGATGGGACAGATCAGATCTCAAACAATACAAGTGGGAGAAAAAGCTATACAGTCCTTTCTACATAATAAAGCTCCTCTTCCACAAAGCAGCCTTAAATTTTGTACAACTATTAATGTCATATTTTTAATATAAAATATTTGCATGGAAAGTAATTATACAGAAGTGCTGCCAAAGAGTTGCTTCTCTAGGGAGCATTTTGGTAGGAAGGGAAAAGAACAAAGCCAGGTCATCATATAGTTGAGCTCACATTGTGCTTTTTTTCTGTCAATAGAACAGGCTGGGAACTCCCAGTAAAATGTAATCCTGTCCAAATAGTGCAAAGTTTGCAGACGTTTCTCCCCAAATACATTTATAACTTCATTTTAAAGCCACTTTTCAGCACTTTCAGAAACGGAGGCCAGACTCATACAGTTGGACAGAGAAAGTAAAGATTTGCTAAAAGTTCATTACTGAAAATGAGAATGTACAAAGAGACACCACTGTCCAGGGATGGGGACTTGAGCTACGAGGTTCGCTGTCATGTCGGACTCAAGTCACAATGGTGACTCGATTCAGTTTTTTTTCCCAATGACTCAGACTTGACTTGTGACTCGGAACCCACTAACCCTCTCCTTTTTTGCGGGGAGCGGGGAGCTTGTTTTTAACAGGGACTTGGACTTGGGGCCTGGGTCTTGGAACTTGTTACCAAAGACTTGGACTTGGGACTTGGTACCAAAGACTTGGGACTCAGACCCAAAGACTTGCAAACATCCCTGCCACTGTCAACTATCTTGTGAACTAGTACATGGCAGGAACTAGCTCCCACTGAACTCAGTGTATCCTGACAAACGTACACGTGTTTAAGTGTGTTTAAGGCACATACGTACATTTAAACAAGTAAATTAAGAAGTCATTCTCTTAAACATGCATTCATGTTCAAGGGTGTTTTAATCTCATCTGAGTAAACTGCTTGCTGGAAAACAATTTACACCTTATCTGCTTATTTTCTTTTAAAACACTCTGATGTCACAAGCATATATTTCTGCTATGGTACCTGTGCTAAACCAAGAAGGACTACATAAGCCAAGCAAGAATATGTTTTGAATTTGAAGAAACTCCTGGCTTTCATCAAATTATTTTTGGAAAAACTGACAAATGTGAATGGAAAACTGCTAGATCAAGAGCCCCATAAGAGCGTAAAACCTAGGAACTTTTCTTTTGTAATCCATGGGAGTGCACCAGAGCTATTGACTGATTGAATGCAGCCTATTGATCAGATAGCATGGGGCAACTAATTACTGTATAGACATAATACATCCTAGTTACCTAAACCCATCATACTTCCCCCCTACTAATATATTAATTTTACATTCTTATAAATCTAAATCGATAAATCTTGAAAGCCCCTCAACGCATATAGCATTGGATGAATAGAACTAGTGCAGTGGTTCAGCCATGGTTCCCCAGATGTTCTTGGACAAAAACTTCCGGAAGCCTTCACCACTACCTGTGCTGGCTAGGATTTCTGGGAGTTGTAGTCTAGGAACCTCGGGGGACCCAAGATTGGAACCACTAATCTAGTGAACTACAGTTCAGGCTAGTTGTCCTGATGTTGCCGAAGTGCAGTTCTCATCATGACTTACCACTAGCTGTACTGGCTAGGGCTAAAGGGGACAGTTCAACAACAGCTGGAGAGCTGCAAGCTACTCAAACCTGCATTAGTTCTACAATACAATCAGGGGTTTGTTTGTTTTTTGGTTATACATATTATAGACAGAAAGATCAATCTAAAATCTCAACTTCAAGCAAGAAAGCAGAAATAATATGAACGTTACCGATCGAAATGCTGCAGCAATGAGGTTTGATGGAAATAAATTCCTGCAAAAAGCCAAACACACATACACAAAACAGAGATTAGGATTTGACTACAGCTTATAAACTCAATTATTTCTTTTCAAATTAAAACTATATTATGCCTCTGGTAAGATTAAAGCATTAAGGCATTAATGAGGCGAAATGCCATACAACCAACTTTCTACATCAATGTTTTTCAGCCTGAGCAGACACGCTTGCTATCAGAGAACATGTGGTGTAGAATGTACATGTTAATTGCAGCTTTCTTTGCAACTGTTCTCTCCAACTGTCATGTCTCACTTTTCACATATACTTCTTTAAAGTGGAATACTTGTTTCTTTCCCAGAACATGAACTTTGACTAATCTTCAGACTCCTGCATTTCATAAGGAACGAAAGATAATCTGGAGTGTAAATAAGATGTTCTAGATATATCTGGCTCCTCAGTACCAAATCCGACAACTTGTAAGGAGAAGAGTATCATTTAAAAACATTGAAAGAAACCTAACAGCAAAGCTATGCCAATGAAATAAGTTTTCATTTCTCTTGTTCCTGTTATATATGCCGCCCAATCCCTTCCAACTTATGTCGACCCTAGAAATGAGTGGACTCCAAAAGGTTTGCAATCTTAACAGCCCTGATCAGGTGTTATCAGTTCAAGGCGGCTCTTTCTTTTCACTTAGACACCCTGCCGATTCTGGAATCTTCATAGACCATAGAAATATACAGTTGGTAATTGATGGGACAATCATTCCCGTTACTCAGGGCATGCACCATAATGGCTGCAAATAAAAAAGCAGTTTCCCACCAGAGAGTCTCAGAGCAAATCCTACGCTTGTAATCCTGGAACCTCTGGAGCAATTACCTTATCCTGAATCCTGTGGAACATCCACATCTTACGCATTTCCAGAGAGAAACACTGGCGAGTGTACATGATGACTACATTTATTGCAGTACATTGTTCTGGTTTTTTGTCACTTCTGTGGACAATGAGGCACTCCAGTGCAGAAAATCTCACCCCAGGTGGAGTTCCTTTTGGAAGGAGAGAAGGGAGTGTGTTTGCCAATGTATAGCTCAGGCATAGGAGGGGGCATAACTTCAATTCAAACAGCCACATCCCTTGTCTCCTGTCAGATACTCAGAGACGGAAAGACAATCTCAAAGTGCTATTAGCTTGCAGAGTCCCTAAACTCAACCTTCTCCCCAAAAGTGGCAGCAGTGGGAGGCACAAAGGAGGGACAACATGCCATGTCCAGACTGTCCTGGGAAACCCCATGGGATGAGCCCATTCTGACCGAAGATGAGACAAAACCCGCGCAAGAAAGTATAGGAACCACAGGTGGTCTGGGTTTTCCACCTTCCCCAGTAAGGTCAGCTGCAGATGTACCCGATAGATCGGGCGTTCCACAGAGGTGGAGTTACAAAGACTTGAGTTCTATCCCTGTGCAATTAGAGGGGGATTTGTTGTGGTTCAATGAGAAAGGGAAAGGCACAACATCCCTGAAGCAAGAGACAGAGTTTGTTGTTAATGCTGAATTGAACAAGTTGTCAAAGAATACGGGGTTCTTGTTAAAAACTTCTGGTGTTCCTGAGTCATCCATCCAGCAAGATCCAGATAAGAGAGAAAAGGTAATTATACCAGATCATAGCCGCACACATTAGTTCTTTCCAAATATGCCTTTGTATGAAATGCTCTGTTGTATTGCTTTAGGAGCTTCACGGTACCGTGGTTAAACTGCAGTAATGCAATCAAGCCTCTGCTCACAGCCTGAGTTTGATTCCAACAGGCTCAGATAGCCACCTCAAAGTAGACTCAGCCTTCCATCCTTCCGAGGTCAGTAAATGGAGTACCCAGCTTAAGAGGGGCAGGGAGATGTGTAGACCATCATTAAATAATAAACTGCCCAGAGAGTGGTTTAATGGGGCAGTACATAAGCAGCACACTTTGCTTTACATTGCTTTAAGTTATAAGACAAAGGATGCAAGTATCCTGGATCTTGAACTGGAAGAAAGAAAGGCTGTTCTTTAGTTATCCCTCTGCCATGGAGGCAGCCCGAGTCCTGCAAAATACATGCCCAACACACACACCTCCAGTTCAGTGCATACAATCCAGATTTCACAAAGAGAACAGGTGCGTGTCATAAAATTTGCCTGCAGTGTAGAACAAACAACTCTAGTTTGTCACCAAAGGCATTAAACAGAAAAGCTGTGATATACAGTCCCACAGTGGTGGGAATGTAAGACTGGAAACCTATTGTAGTCAAAAGAAAGCAACCCAGAAGGCCTGCTGTGACAAAAGGAGGAGCCATCATCTGTGCTACGGATCAGCTGTTTGGCCTTCAGTTTCCTAATCAACTCACACTGCATGAACTTTCTCACAGTCATTGAGATATGCCAAAGGACACAGTCATCTAAAGAGGTACTTCTGTCAGTGTCCATGAGCAATTCTGTTTTTTTTTTTTTTTAACCTTTGTGTATTGGAAATGAACACACAGATCAGCAGCAACATCATGTGTGATCAAATCAATTTTGACTTATGGCGACCCTTTTTAGGGTTTCCTAGAAAAGAGTGCACAGAAGTGGTTTACCATTCCCTTCTTCTGGGGGTGCCTTGCAACTGTGCAGCTTGCCGAAGACCACACGGGCTGGCTCTACTTGCAGGAGGCACAAACTCCCAACCTTGGGCTCTGCAACTGAAACCGCTGAGCTATCCAGCCAGTACACACTCATATATGTGTGTATATGTGTGTATTTGTATGCACACAGTACAGTCTGCATACAAATACACACCTATACACACAAAATACAGTGTGTGTGTGTGTATTTGTATGCACACATACAAATACACACCTATACACACACACTGCATTTTGCAGATTTGTTCAAGATAATTTTGGTTACATCAACTCTGAAGGTGTTTGGAAGCCTAAAGCAGTGGGGTCAGCATGTGCCTATCTGCACCCCATTTTTTCACATGAGACGTAGCAAGCTATTCTAGCAAAGTGCTATTCGTCGCTGGTCTGATTTCTTGTTATTCAAGGCATTTATCAGTCACCTGTCTCTGCATGTACCCAAATCAACAAACATAAAATACATCACGTAAGTAAAAGCTAATCTTAAGGTCACATCTGCTACGTGATGTGACCATATGCCTCTTCAACTGGAAAAGAGAGGCAAATATTGTAATGCACTACGTTGCTCCTACTTGAAGCAAGAACAGAGGAGTAAAAGGATGGGCCACTGGGGGCACATGATCCGTGGGCAGTATCTACAGGGCAGTATCACATGAAACATCAAGGGTCTCTTGCTTCTTCTCTCTTTTTCTCTGGGCTTCTGGGCAAGTTGAGAGATGGGTGGATGCTTCTTTAAAGCCCGCTCTGCTCCAGCCTTGTGAAAACATTCTGAAGAACAAAGCATTGCTTAGAATTCACATGTCCTGGTCTGCCCCTTTGTTGTATCAGAGGCACGTAAAAATGTCAAGAACAATCCTGTCAAAACATCCACTGCTGGTCACATTAGATGGAAAGGATTAAAGGGCCCTGCCCATGACTCGGCTTAACAGGGAGTGACTCAGTGAACTGAGTCAAGGCTTCTGGTCCTCCAAATTTTGCTCTGTGGGAAACACGATTCCCAGGAACAGTTACTTCCTAGGAGGTGGCCTGTGTAGCAGGACAGCCACTTTGCACAAAGATGGTTCCCACTACCTTCCCCAGAGCACTTCTCACCATGACCTCACACGGTGCCATCCAGACTGAATGTGAAGGAGAGCACTTCTCACCATGACCTCAGTGCACATGAGGATGGGTCTGGCACACGGTGCCATCCAGACTGAATGTGAAGGAAATGAAAGCTGCATTAAACTACAAGAATGGAGGCCTCATCCAAACTGGGTAAAATGGATGCCAGGCTGCAACAACATGGGCTAAGGCACCACTAAATGGCATTCCAACATCTTTCAGATGTTTTAGACTGTAGTTCTCAATATCCCTGGTTATTGGCCATCTTCTTCGTAACCAAAGCCAGTGGTACTTGGTTCAGTACGGTAAATGGAGCATGACCTAACTACTAGCGTTGGTTACTCCCACTCCTGCTCGCCTCCCTTATTCCAGTCTGTATGTGGGCACTTACTCATTTCCCTGTCTTTCTGTGCCTGCACATATGAGCGAGTGCGTCTTTCTGTATGTGAATGTCTCTCTGCATGTGTGTATGAATGCCCACTATTGCTCCTGACCCTGGTTGCTGGCATTCCCAGCTCTGCTCACCACCGGCTACTCTGCCTTCTCCTTCACCAACCACAGCAGTTTGTGGGGCTGGACTAGGGCCACAGCACTAGGATAGGCCAAACTTTTCTACTGTTCCCCTAACTTACATTTTCCCCTCCCCAAAGCTGTAATTAGCTTTGTATACAGAATGGAGACCCATCTCTTCCTTGCCCTGTGGCCCAAAGTAGCTCTAACAGGGCTACTCAAAGTAAAGAAATTTGGCATGGTGGTTCTAGCTGATGTTTTCTCTCTGCACCCCAAACCCAAAAGAATTAGGAGGTCCAGTCATACCTCTCTCATGTCAGCTTTATCTCTATGGCAACTGGAAAGTAACATAACTGGAGCAGCTGCAAGGCACTGTTTGAAAGATAAAGTCTTCTGCACCCTAGACTGCCACAACAAAGATAAGGAAAACTCCATATACAAAATATGTTTGATTTGCAGTTTCTAACAAGTATTTTAGTTAGAAGCTGGCAAATAACCCTTGTAAATTCCATGCTTCAGCACTACAGTGCTAAGCCAGTCTATTTAGTTTCTGGGCATGTTGTAAACAAGGAGTGAGTAACTGTAGCCCTCAAGATATTTGATAATAACAAAAACAAAACAAAACAAAAAACAAAGACAAAAACCCTGTGGCACCTTAAAGACTAACTGCCGTATTTTAATGTGAGTTTTCGTGGACAAGTTCACTTCTTCAGGCCTGTTCCAGATATTGTTGGGCTACAGTTCCCGTAATGTCTCATTAGTACCTATTCTATTCTACGGCTAATAGGTATTGCAGTCCAGCAACATACAGATGGCCACTGTTGCTCACCCTGCTAGAAAGCTATCTGTCCAGAGCTGCCCAGAGGGCGGGGGGAGCTGGGCAAGATGTAATGTTTCAGGGGCCACCACTGCTGGACACCATTACGGAGTATTCTGTTTTGGCCACACCTCATCTGGAACACTGGATCTAGATCTGGCAGAGTTTAACGATCTCAACACGTTGGAATGTGTCCAGGAAGGTGACCAAGATGGGAAATCATCTGGAAACCAAGCCCTATGAAGAACTGTTAAAGGCGTTAGATACATTTTGTCTAAAAAAGAGAAGGCAAGCAGGCAATATGATACCATTTTTTAAACATTTGAGAGACTGACATGTGGAAGATGGACTAATCTTATTTTCTGCAACTCCGCAGGATAGAACCGAAACCAATGTATTCAAAGTATAAGAAAAAAAAGATTTTGACTGAACATTAAGAATAACTTCCTGGCCATAACAGCTGTTTGATGATGGAATGGACTACCTTGGAAAGTGGAGGACTTTCCTCCAATAGAGGTTTTTGAAGAGAGGTTGGATGAATATCCAGGATGCTTTAGCTGTGAATTTTCTGTTTCACTGGGGATGGAACTCGATAACGTTTCGTGTCCCTTCCAGTTCTACAATGATTCTAAACAGCTTAAAATAATGAAAACTCTATTGCTTTATACCCCAACATTTCCTGAACTTAAACTGAAGGGTCGTTAATAATACTGGGGTTTTTTTTAGTACAGTAACTTTCCTTCTCAGCAAAACTGGACTATGCACTTTTGAATGAATTCATTGACACTAGCTGTTCTGCTGCCTGTTGACATTTTCAATCATTTTGGAAAATGAGCTAGCAAATACAGCCTGCTCAAAATGCAGCCGTAGTTATCCAAATACATAATGCATTTAGCCATAGACAGATGTTCCTTTGACGTTCATAGAATTTTGTTTTTCTTTCAAAGCTTGTTGCAACTACAAATCCACTCATGCCCATGTAGTGAAGGTATCTGCTGTTAGTGGGGATGCATTCCTGAAGACCTGCAGCTCCTGAAACCATTTTAATGTGATGCCTGAATGGAAAGCAATCCACAAAAACTGATAAGGCGGTATTGACCTGATCAATTGACTGAATGAAAGACTGCTGGTAACCCCATGGAAGAGCAGCAAGTACACTTTAAGTGTTTTATAAAAATAAAGTGAAGATATTTTTAAAAGGGAGATAGAGAAATAACACTTTAAAGACGAATGGATATATTTTGCACGTTCTTGGCTTATGAACGGAAGTTTTATCCTTGACTAAAAAGCTTGCCAAGTTTAGCTCTGTCTATCCATACTGAAACAGAGGGGGGGGAATGAATGAAACGGACAGGGTACAAGCCTGTGTAAAATTCTGAATTTATACAAGATACACGTGCCAAGACCATTTATATGTGAATGGTCCTTGTGCTTGCCTGCCTCACTGTATATCTATACCAGCATTGCCAGGGGTGTCTCTGTGTCTACATAGATAAGTTCCACAGAGTTGGTGAACTCAGCTGTTCCAAGTTCTTCCCACAGTATATTTGGTATAGTCGCTAAGGGTGCCACAGGTCGGCTGCTTCTGGCAACAGGCTAGCCTAGCTCCACCTCTTGAGTCACTGTTCTTAAAATCAGTGCTGTTACCTTCATTCCCTTTTGTCAGTCGCTGTGGGTTTTCCCATCCTGCACTGAGCACCTTTCTAGAATCAGACAGAGAAACCCTTTCAGTTCTCTTATTCCGTAATTGGATACTTAGGCTTTAGGAACGGTTCCTAGTTCATCCGCAGCACCTCTCTCTAAGGATGAAAACGGGAATGTGTCCATTCCACACTTTGCACAAACTGGAGAGATCTCAGGGTTGGACGGCCAGGTATATCGTGCACACTTGACATGTCTGGTGGGCACAAACCTCAACTATATCTGGACCAGAGGTTGGGAACATAAATACAAACGTTCAGAAAAATGAATACAATGGCATACTGAAGCCCTCTCTAACCGAACCGCAGAAGGATGGTGCTGCAGCTCTTGCATCATTCTCCTCCCCTGCTCATTGACAGATGGCATCAGCACAACATCATTCTCGCCGCTGAAGTAGACCCGAAGTCTGTCGAAAGCTTATGCCGAATAAAACTTACTAGTCTTCAAGACTGCAAGACAAGGTGTTGCTTTTGCTCCAACAGAGAAACACAACTTTCTCCCCGGAAATCATACTCGTTACTCTGTAAAGTAACTTTCCCGGGGGTTCGTAGAGGCAACTTATTTGATAGAAGGGTCGGGTTTCGTTTTGCGAATCCTCCCCGAGACCCACCGCCCACTCCAACCAGAACCCGGGCATCATCATCTGAGGCGTTTCGCTGCTTCTGCTTCCTCGGGTTCAGGACCCGGAGGGGGCCAAGCCAGCCCAACCCCTTACCTGAGGAGGTCCAGGAAAGAGTCCACGGTCTCTTTATTGGTGGGCACCTCGCCCCCAAAACCCAAGTCGTTCTTGTTGAGGGCCCCGGCGCCCACCCCGGGGTTGATGATGAAGCTCAAGGCGATCGCCAGGGCCGCGGCGATCAAGGTGGTGACCAAGAAATAGGCGAGGGCGATGCCGCCCAGCTTGCCCAGCGACCGGGTGTCCAGGCTGGCCGCGCCGGAGACCAGGCTGCACACCACCAGCGGCAGGATGATCATCTTGAGCATCCGGAGCAGCATCTCCCCCGGGAAGGCCAGGTAGGTGACTTGAGCCGGCGTGAGGTGCAGGCGCCTCACCAGGGCGCCCAGGACCACGCCGGCCAGCACCCCCGACACGGTCAGGATCACCAGGCAGTTGCGCTGCAGGAACCGCCCGAAGCCCCGCAGGCGGAAGAGCCTCAAGCGGGGCCGCTCGACCCCTTCGCCGCCGCCGCCGCCTCCTCCTCCTCCTCCAGCCTCGAAGCCGGACACCACCGTGGGCTCCAGGTAGCCATTCCGGCTCCCGGGTGTGGGTGCCTTTTTGCCTTTTAAGCGCGGCCGGCAGGCAGGCAGGCAGGCACGCTGGCCGGCTCCTAGGGAGGGAAAGCTCGGACAGCGCTCCCACCTCACCGCTCACCCGCCGAGCATGATGCAAGGCGAGGGGAGTCTGGGCTCAGCGCCTGCCGCCCCTTCCCCTGCGCGCGGCTCCTCCCTCTCCTCCCTCCGTCTCCCCCCCCAGCCAGCCACATTGGAGAGGTTCCTTCTCCCCCCTCCCTTTTGGTACGGCCCATTCGGACTCCCAAGGGAGGGGGCGCTGACAAGAAACAGCGGCGGCCGCCCGCCAAGGGGGCGCTTCGAGAGGGGCGAGGCGAACGGGCAGGTAGGAGGGGGAGGAGGAGGCAGCCTTTTCCCTTTGCCCGCAGGGAGCCAGGGACTGGGCTGCCCGGGAAAGGCGTTTCCCCTTGCTCCGTTTCTCGAGCCAGCGGGATGCAAATCCCCCCCCTGACGGGCGGGAGGGGGACGTGCCATTGGCGGCTTATTTTAGGCGCATCACCCGCCCTCCGCCCTCTCGTGCCCATAAATGGTGGCCAGGCGGCTCAGGGGAAAGAAGGAGAAAGGCGCGTCATGCTCCATCCATCTCTCCGAAGCGGGGGCTACACCCGCCGCCCAGGAAAAGCGAAGGCTCGAGGCGGGGGAGGGGAGGGGAGGGGGGGAGGGGTCCAAACCATTTCA